ATCAAAAAAAAGAAGATTTTTCTGTCAATTTGGTGGAATTGAAAAGGTCCGGTGTATTTTGAGCTGCTTCCAAGGAACCAAACCATTAATTCGGAGGTCTACTGTCGGCAACTAGACAAATTAAATGCAGCAGTCAAGGAAAAGCGACCAGAATTGGTCAATCGTAAAGGTGTCATTTCCCACCAGGACAATGCTAGACCGCACACATCTTTGGCCACTCGGGAAAAATTGATGGATATTAGTCGGGAATTGATGTTACACCCACCATATAGCCCTGATCTTTCACCATCGGATTACCACTTATTTCGATCTCTGGACAACTCCCTCCGTGGTAAAACTTTTAATGATGATGACGCTGTAAAATCGCACTTWCTTCAGTTTTTGGCCGAAAAAGATCAGACTTTTTGCGAGCGTGGAATTTTCAAGTTGTCAGAGAGATGGCAAAAGGTCATCGAACAAAATGGACTGTACATCATAGATTAAAGTTCATTACAAGTAAAAAAATAACACTTTTATTTTATGGAAAAAATCCGCAAGTACTTTCATGCCAAGCTTAATTTAACATTTATTTTCCAATTATGTTACAAAATTTATAATTTTCATTATATTATACATAAATGAGTTTGACAAATAATATTGAAATAATATTTTTATATTATTATTAATTTTGTATTTCCCAATTTATGCATTAATTTTATGGCATCTAAAGAAATGATCGGGTTTGTATCCTTTAGGACATTTCCGAGGTGGCACAACAAATATATTGGTTCTGGATTGTGAAGAGCTAGAACCAATTGCATAACCTTGAACTGTGTTTGTTGACAAAATGATGCACATTAAAAATACGCAAACTATTGAAAGAAAACGCATGTTGATTATTTCCCTAAAAAATTACAAAATAACAATATTTTTTATTTCAGAAAAAAAATTCACTTTTTGTTTCATATTTAAAATATTATTAAATTAATCAGATAAAATTCCAATGACGTAATAAACGTATAATGAGATCATTTAATTTTCGTTATTAGCATTAAATTATTGCTATACTTACGTAAACTAAGATGGTCGGAAAGTTCAGAAAATTCGAAGTTATTTTTTCTCTTTTTTTTTGAATAACCAAATGATTTTTTCTAAGTCGAAGCAGTTGTATTGCTTGAATATCTGCTTTTGCACAGTTCAAACATCGTATTTATACCTTAGAAAGTAACATATTATTCTATTGTTTATAGCGTTATCATGCATTGAGGACGTTAAATTTATTATTAGAATTTTAGAATTTTAGGCGATTGCAATTTTTCGTAGCACGTTTTCTATTTTTATTATTACATGAATTTCCTTGAAAATATTAGTTTGATTACCGGCACGCGTGGTAATTTTTACTGTCAAATATTAAAACTTTCAATGATTCATCGTTTTTCGTCTCATTCTTTCTATTAACATTACACTTTGTTCAAACAAATCTGTTCTGGATCTGATAAGATTGAAAATAATCCGAAACAAATTATATTTCATATTCTTTTCTCTAATTTTTACTCTTTAAAATTTTTTTAAGAAAAACAAATTCAATCGAAGTAATGGAAATTACATTTATTTAAATCCGACAAAAAGAAATTTGATATGTAATATATCATTGTGTAAAAATAAAAATAATAATAATAACCCACGTAAGTTGGGCGGGTAATATTAACCCCTCAGAAATCCCTGCTTGTCATAAAAACCGACTAAAAGGAAGACTTTCTAGGGAGGGAATATAAATAATAATAAACATTTAAACTTTGACCAAGTTTACACYTAGTACAATTTTCCAATATCCGGACGAATATAATTATTAATATGTAGATTGTTTTTTTTTCTTCTTGTTTTCATTACATTTTTATCTCTCTTCTATTTAATCTTTATATTTATATATATTTTGCTAATATTTATTTTTTTTTTGAAACACGTAAAATTTAAATATTAACAAACTATAATATATCTATAAAATGATTCGCCAATAATTTTTGCGTCACGAAATAATCTCAATCGTATAAGTGTTATTATATGTATATTAAGATTAAAAATTATGCCAAGTATAAAAATTTATTCGGTTTTTATTTGCGATGACTCGACACTTTTTAGAACGACTTCGTTCTCCTTATTTCACGTGTGTCCAGTTTTTTGATTGTTTTCTTTTAATTCGTACTTTAAATTTAAATCGGAATTAGTTTTAATCAGATTTAAATCGCAACTTGACTATTACAAAAATTGAGATTCATTGTTGTAAGTGTTAATATTGTAATCAAATAAATATAAAACATAAATATTCAATTAAAAATAATCGAAAAATAATTGCTAGAATGTCAAGAATATGCTGTACCATCAATTTTTATTAAAACATAAAAATGATATATATGTAGGATTTGGTTTTGGGGAAGAGGTATAGATTAACTTACACCCAAAGTCAATTCTACTTAAAATAATATATTCAATATTGGATAAATAGGATAGCCATATAATTATGTTTTACAACGGTCTTTAAGTCACGTGATACACTCCCTTCTATAAACCGATTGTCTAACTAGTAACCGACACACTCACTCTCTATCAACTTCTATAATAACTCTCCGTATTAATAACAATAATAATAATAATATTAATCAGCAACCGATTCCCCCCAATATATAGAATAGTCCCCACCATGTCCCTACTTGCTTTCTCGCGTCTTCTAGAACATTCGATTATTTCCTATTCCTACATATATATATTATTAACTTCGAAGAAAAATATATAATATATATACTTTTATTATTAGTCGACATCTACAATTTACATCAGGTTTATGTCCAGGTGTATAACTTATTGATTGTACTCTAATCGCAGGTCAAGTTTTTCTTTTAACATCTCTTCCTCTGATCGTGATCGTTGCACAAATTATGCAAATAAATATAGTGCAAGATATTGTTACAAAATGACGCATATTGATTATAATTTTCTCTTTCTTGTAAATAAAAATAATTTATATTTTTTCTTTTCTCTCTCTTCACGTATTTTATTTTAATTCTATCTGTGAAGATAGATCAAATTATTGACACTATTAAAATCATTTAATAGTCATCGAGATGTCTTTTTAAAATGTGTTTGGTATTAACTTTGTTCACAAGAATTAATTATAAGTATTCAATAAGAACTATTTTGGAAACATAACTGAACATAAGGATAGAGTATATGATTGCACAACGACGCGTTACATGCTATACAACGTGAGAGTTCGTTAAAAAATAGAAGAAAAAGACAAAAGACAAAGAAAAGAAAAATAAGATAAATATAAAACTCAAGACGCTTTCACATGTACTAAATTGCAAATATCCCTTAAGGACATCTATCTATAAACACAGGAACTACCAATATTTTGCACTTACAATCAGAGATCTAACTCTATTAAATAATAATCCAAAAATTTAATGGATTAAGGGGTTACATGGGTTTACACCGGGAAAAAATAGCATATTTTCAACAATTTTTTTTTCTATATAAAAAATGAAATTCTTATTCAAACTTTTTATAGTATTTAAGATACATATTTAAAGAACATTTTTTGAATTTTTGGTTGAAAAATATTTTAAACTCAGCCATTGCGAC